CCAACATCAGCAACACGGATGACATTGTTGGTCTGTCAAATGCCATGTCCTGCACACACAACATCCCTACTTGTATGCATCTCAACACTTCATTCTGGCAACATGAATCTGCAATTTTAGGATCAATCATCTCCATTGCCTTATCACCATCCCATAAGTCCCATGCCTGAAACGTTTCCAACATTTTGTCAAATTATACACATCAAAGAAAAGAAAAAAAAAAAAAAAAAAAAAGGAAAAGAAAAGAAAAGAAGATTTATGTATAGACTTACATATCCAATAATATTTGAGTGTTCGGGTGAACGAAAACTAGTGTTTCTTCGGCCGGTTATAATCTCTAGTATTAATACTCCAAAACTATACACATCAGACTTGACAGAAAATAGACCTTCCATTGCATACTCAGGAGCCATATAGCTGCTACATTTTACAAGTGATCATGGAATTCAAGTTAGCAAATCTTTGAGGATAAAAGATAAAAACTGATTTTCTGTGTTGTAATTTGGCAATTAGTGTAATCTCATTCTTGAACTCCTCCAAGCCTTGTCCAGACTTTCTTGAAAGCCTCTTCACAGCTATTTCTTGTCCCCATGGCAACTTTCCTGTTAAGCATTATAAAAGTTAGCAGCACTTTAGTGCATTCCAATACACAATTAACCTTCAATTTTTACCATTTTTTCGTAGAAAATTAAAGAACATACCTCGTAGACAGGGCCAAATCCACCTTGTCCGAGCTTGTTTTCATTTGAAAAATTGTTTGTAGCTAATGCCACAGTATTAAAATCGAGGAATGATAATTCTGCTCCGCTTACATGTTGCCCTTGAACTCTAAGGTCATCCGGTCCAGAAAGATCTGTCGAAAGTTCCTCACTTCTGCGTGCATAAAGCATCAGTAACTCATTGTTCTTCTGCGATGGATTCAAGAATGCTGTAATGAAGAATCAACAATTAGCATAAACAGTCAAGATAATTAACAAAATAACAGTACAATTTTCATTTCACTTTCTAAAATTTACCTTTCAATTTTGCTCTGAACCTCCATAGTAGCCAAATGGAAACACTTAGAAAGAATGTGCCCACCACCACTATTGCTATTATTACAAATTTGGATATTTTTCTCCCACCACCTATGTTAGAAGAGAAACAAATACAAAAGTCATTATATTGTTTATAATTGAACAATTAAAAGAATCAAAGAACTCTAGCTTGCTCCACAAGAAAGCAAAAACTATTTGAAAAGGTCAATTCATGAGAAATTTCTGATATTTAGATATCCTATTCTGCTAGAGTTCTAATCAAGTATATTCATGAGAAATTTCTGATATTTATCCTATTCTCCCTATAGGAGGTAAAAATATCTCTTAAATGTTAGAAATTCTAACAGCAGCAAAAAGTATATTCATGAGAAATTTCTGAAATTTATCCTATTCTTCCTATAGGAGGTAGAATATGTCTTAAATGTCAGAAAGTCTAACGGCAACAAAAAATATTATATGATATAATGAAAATTCAAAATGCTAACAACAGCAATGACATATACAATTGAAAGTTTCATCTTACCTAATTCAGAATTCACGAGACGAATGTAGAGCGTGTTCCCACCATCTGCAAATTGCTGAAGATCAACAAAATCCCCACTCCACATCATGCAGCTGATCCTACTTACACATGCATATGCTTTACATGAACAATTGTTCAGACACATATCTTTGCAAGCATTGATATCTTCTGATCCCACGTAGTCCATGAAGTCCGGCAACTTCATCCCCTCAACCTTGACAAATCCATCTTCTTCCCCATTCCCTCCCTCAACTAGGCTATTATTCCTCTCACACTGCAATTGTGTCCTCCTAACACACCCTCCTGACCAATTCCCTCTATTCCACTGATCCAAGTCTTTTGCTACAAACCCTTCAATATGTACAACTTAAACTTCATTAAGATTTCAAATGGTAGATTAGTCACACAACTCACACATTAATCATTACACCGACAATGATTATACTTGAACAAATTTATCATCCATTTTGTTCATTTCCATTGACTTAGACCCAAACAATTAATCAAACTTATAAGTTAGCATAACTTTACTATAATTTAGATAATCTAAGTGAGCACTCATGTCATGTGCATTACATGGCTTGCCGCCCTTATTAGGGATCATATAAGAAAATTTAACTTAGTACAGAACAATATATAAAAGCTTAATTAAATGCGTTTTTTTTTTTTTTGGTAGAAAATTGAAGAGAATAAGTCTATGCAATTAATTAAACACCATATTAATAAATACATGAAAGACATTGGCCACAAAAGATGTTTGTTCATAAAGGTTTGCCCTTTTTGGACCAGACTAAGGGCTCCGCAGACCGCCCATCCCATCTTTGCTTAATTAGAAAAACTTTTTGATCACATGAAACCAAAAATTCAATGGTTTCCACGTTTTATTCAATTCAGTAATAGTTACTCAACCAATTAGGTCAAAAAATATATTGTGTGTTTGCTTTACAATCCAAAACAACAAAAAAAAAAAAAATTAAGCAAGCTGGATTGAGTTTGTGTTGATTTGTGTTACCCAAAACATCATTAAAAAAACATGTCAAAAATATTTTGATATAAATATTTCCTTGGAATGTGAGATTAGAAGTTTGAGCTTCACAATAGATATTTGTAAATGTGTATGAATACTTATTTGAAATTTGTTACACAATCGCTTCTCATATTAGACTTATTAGACGACTCAAATATTGTTGGTTTTTTATATCTCCAAACAACACATGATAGAATTGATTTAAAAAAGAACTCATAATGTCGCTCAATAAGATTTCAATTTCCAACAGGTCTGATGCTTGCAAATTTCTTTTTATTTAACTTAAAATATGTATATTCACATCATTTGTGGATCATATGCATTATATGCACCGGTATGGGACGGTGGCATATCAGAGATGGATTAGATCAAAAAGTTAAGTCCTACCCCTTCATACGTAAGGAATGGATTAACTAAAACAGTTATATCCTACATGGATGCATGTCCTGTTAACTAAAACAGTTGAGCGACATAACAGATGTTTGCTCTATATTTTTCTGCAGTAGGAAGGATAAGGATCTAATTGAAACATTTAAATCCTAAGTAAATGTCGTGTCATGGCAATGAACAGTTGAGCAGCACTTTATTGGTTTTGGATGGAATTTATATATATATTTATGTTACCACGATATGAGCTTGAGTCTCAGGATCGATAGTTAAGGAACGTATATACATGCCACGTCATCAAAAATGACCCACAAATTTTGGTCAAATGGTCAACAGGCGATGCCACATCAGAAACAATGGCCCACAAGTTAAATGGTCAAACGGTTTAAGTTACGTAACACTTACCACGTCAGTATACCTCGAATATAAAATCGAAGACTTGAAGACCTGAGTTGGGAGTAGGACTCAGGATTACTTGGGATCCGAGGAGGTTCTTGGTTTGGTGGATGAAGTTCAGGGCTCGTCGAGTCGACCCTCGACCTAACTCATAGAGAGAGAGATACCATTTGGACTCCCATACATTTTAAACCCATCTTAATTAACATTATTTTATAATGTTAATGGGCCCCACATGTGATGTCATATGACATCACCCAACCTCTCACTTGGCCTATATAAGGAGGTGATCCAAGGCCAAGTGGAAGGCAGAGCAAAAAAGGAGGAAGAAATAACCTTTCATGGTTTTTCTCCATACATCTTCACCGAGGGAGTCAATGGTGTACTAATACACTACCATCTTCACCCTCTCTCTTCAGTTTACCTGTGTTTCCACCTCTCTCAGTCCACCTCGGATTCTATTATGTTGTTTGGATCACTCAGATTTATGTGTGATATCACCATTTATATGTATTTTATTATGTTACGAAAATGAACCCCCACAATTTGGAGACTCCACTGGGGATATCAACACAAAGTCGATGGACTCAGGCGACCATCCTTCTACAATACACCTCCAAAGCTTGAGGTTTACTACCTTATTTTGCTGAGCTCGTTCTATATTTTAATCATCTTCATTTCTTTGCATTTTCGTACTGTCAGCTGCTTTAATTATTACACCTGCTTGTTAATCACTTGCGATGATCTTCTGTTCTTCATATCTTGCGCATATATATAGTATATACACAAATATATATATATATATATATATATATATACCTTTTTTTTTTTATGACCTACGATCAGGTTAATTCAAAGACTGGTTAAAGTATCCTAGATTATTTTGACCAGCGCTCCATGAAAATTTAAGAGAATTCATGTTCTATGACATCTCCCTATTATTGATTATACAACTGCAAGCAATATCACCCACTGTTATAAAGACTACATACACCTTACCACATTAGCGTATAACGTGCGGTTCAATTTTAATTTTTAATTAGTTACATACCATTCTAGATTTGAGAGTGAGACTTTATTGTTGTAGTTTTGGAATGTAGATATATTGTCCCTGAAAGTGAATAAGGTGACTTTAATTTTGACAGGTGACTAAGAACAATAATGGTACGTTATTTTTCATGATTACATTTTTCATGGTTACATTTTCATGGTTATAGGTGATGCTATGTAACGTTTATAAAAAAATTCTCTTCGGGAACTAGTCAATTTTTTTGCCATGACTAGTTCCCGTGGATATTAATTTTTGGCTGGTTTCACAATGTTGGGTTTTTTCATATTTTAAAGTAAGAAAGGTGTTGGACTTGTCAAATATGCTTTTTTAGGGTATGAATAAAAGCTAGCAAACTCATCTATGAAAAAAACAAAGAATAGTAACTCAATGTAACATAAAATTTGATCATGTGAAACTCGAAGTGGGATGTGTCTTGAAAATTAACCAATCACTTATGGATTGCATCACATGTAAAATTATAAGCTCTTAACTTTATTATTTTTTAACTAACTCTTTTCAGAAGGCCAGAGTTGTGGCAATGAAATGGATAGTTGATCTTTCTTTCTGTCACTTTTGCAGATGAGGTCTACCATAGTGTCAATAATGGTTTGAGAGATTTGCCTGCAGTTGAGCTATCTACACTTCCTTTAATACTGAAGGTTCAAACTGATTCTTCTGTTTTATTTTTAACGTAATCTTAGTTTTCATTTTCTTCTTTAAGTGTTCTTTTTTGTTATTTATTTCTCAATCTTGAGGCATAGTGTCAATTTTTGCTTAGTATATAATATATATATAGAAAAGAATGGTACAAGAGAACTTATAATGCTGACCCTCTTAATATTAAAAACAAGGAGATGATGAAACAATGCATGAGACCGGGGCATTCCTTCTTTGGGTTTCGATTATCAGAATGTTGATGACTTTTATTTATTAGTGAGAAGTAAATTGAATTCTACAAATTAAGTAGACTAAATTCAATGTAATTTTAATAGCTTTGCATGTAAAGTAATCATCCGTATTGAATATATATATATATATATATATATATATAAAGCTCTGATATAGCATGGTGTCTAAGTGCCATTGATTTGAAAAAGCTTACAAAAATAATATTTTTGCAACCACAAGAAACCAAAATAATATTATTTTTGAATGTAATATTGTCTTTCTGATTTTTGCAACTTCTACTCCTAACATATCTTTTAATATTATTTTTGCAACTCCTACTCCTAACATATCTTTTTGAAATCATCAATATAGTATGTTTCTGGTCAAAAACAATATTACATTCAGTATCACAGTGTCAAAATTAGATACGTCTTTCTCATAGTTATGTCATTAATATTTCTAATTCCCTGTCTAATTTTCTTGACATGGCAGTCATTGCGTCACATCATGAATATCAACATCAAGATAGAAATTTGCAGCTGTCACATACCACCTTCTTCAGGTCAGATTAGTGTTTTCATGCAATATTCGGTTTCTTTTTTTGTCAAATACAATTTTGGTCTCTTATTTGCCTTCTTCTTGAACAAAAAATTCTATTTTTGTATGCTACAAGACACTGAGCTTGCTATGTTCTTGCTATTGCTGACAGTGTGACCAACATAATTCAGCCTTTGTCTCGGTTTCCTTCGCATTAGCAATTAAGAAGGGGATAAATCGCTTTTGATTGGCTAATATTCTTTAAAGGTATTGATGATTGCTTTTCTTGCTTTTTAATTTTTTATCTATTCATTTAAAATTATTCCTTATGAGTTTCATTAGTTCATCGATATATTCTACTTGTTGCATGATAGGTGAATCAACTTTGGCATATCATCATGCTGAATTATTAGCTCTTACAAATAATCGTGTTGTAATATGTTTTTATTTTGATTAATGCAAATAATTTTTTTATGTTCATGTGGAACTTTGGAGATTGAACTATTACCTATTGCTTTCTTACTGTACAAAATGGACCCATCTTGCATAATGATAGTTTACTAAAAATTTAGGATCATTCTTAGGAACCCTAGCTACATTTTGTCGAGGAATTTGTTTTAATGGAGTAGTGATGATTTTTTTTAGTACATATTACTTTTTTATTCTTTTCAAATACCTTGACTAAATTGTTATCATGTTTACCAATAATATATTTCTTGTCCATATATTTTATTTAGGTAGGTTGATGTAATATCATGGATAGAAGTTGGATAACTCAGTCAAGGTACTTCAGATTGTAGTTTGATTAGGTTACTTAATCTAATAACTACAATTTAAGAAATTTGATTTTTTATATGCATTACCATGCAAATAGGTTAAGTTCAGTATACTTGCGTGGAGTTGGAGAGTTTCTAGATATCTCATTTGAGCGACTTGGGAAGGATGGGCGTATATATTGTCCTTGTACTGATTGTGGCAATTGTATTAAGAAAACACGTTCTGAGGTGAGAGATGATTTGGTATGCAATAAGTTTATTCAATCATACACAACTTGGTTTTATCACGGGGAAGAAGTGCCGTCATCTTCTCGTTAAACTGATATACACACAACACATGAGGATATCAATGCAAACAAAAATGATGATATGCATGGACTCTTACACGAGGGTTTTGGTGTTCCAACTGAAGGGAGGGAAGAGACCAACGGAGAAAATGATCAGCATCGAAAGGTGTCAAATGAAGAGTTAGATAAATTTTATAGGCTATTGGAAGATGCAAACCAAGAGTTATATCCTGGGTGTAAAAAGTTTTCAAAGTTATCCTATGTAGTGAAACTATATTTGGTGAAGACTAAATGTAATTGGAGTGACAAATCATTTACTAATCTGTTAAAAGTGATAAAAGAAGGATTACCAGATGGCGAGACATTACCAAAAACCTTCAATGAAACAAAGAAGATGATTGGTGACCTGGGACTAAAAAATATGATAAGATTCATGCATGTTCCTCTAATTGTATGTTGTATTGGAAGGAGCACTCTAATGATGAAATGTGTTATAATTGTGGCAAGTCAAGGTAGAAAGTTTTTGATTCAGAAACTGAGGGCAATGTGAGTACATCATCCTCATCAACAAATAAAAAAATTCCTGCTAAAGTTATACGATATTTTCCTTTGAAGCCAAGACTCCAAAGATTGTTCATGTCAAGTAAGACAACTTCTTCTATGAGATGGCATGCTGAAGAGCGAATCAATGATGGATTGATGAGACATTTCGCTGACTCCCCAGCATGGGATAGCTTTGATAAAAGATACCCAACATTTTCTAGTGATCCTCGGAATGTCAGGCTTGCATTAGCAACTGATGGGTTCAACCCATTCAAGACCATGAGTGTTGCACACAGTACATAGCCTGTTTTGATACTCGTGTATAACTTACCCTCGTGGATGTGCATGAAACAGCCTTATTTTATTCAATCAACCTTGATACCTAGCCCTAAGGGACCTGGAAATGATATTGATGTCTATTTGCAGCCTTTGATAGAGGAATTAAAAGAGTTGTGGGTTGATGGGGTGGAAACTTATGATGCTTCAAGAAATGAGATGTTCTGCATGCATGCAGCATTATTTTGGACTCTTTTTGACTTTCCTAGTTATACAATGGTTTCCAGATGGAGTACAAAAGGGTATTTGGCTTGTCCTACTTGTAACAAAGACACTTGCTCTCATTTCTTAGATCATAGCAAGAAAATATGTTATGATGGGCATCGTTGTTTTCTTGAAAAAGATCATAAATATAGGCGTCGTAAATCAACATTTGATGGCATTGAAGAGGTAAGGTGTGCACCGCCTATGTTATCTGGAACACAATTGTTACATGAAACAGAGGGCCTTAAATTTCCACCATTTGGAAAGAGTGTGCATACAATGTGAAGATCGGAAGTGTGACGATCGGACGCGTCCGACGCACAATTGGAGAAAGAAGAGTATATTCTTTCAATTACCATATTGGAAGTATAATCTTTTGCGTCATAATCTAGATGTGATGCATATTGAAAAAAATATATGTGACAATATACTTCACACATTGATGAATGATCGGAAATGGAATGATGGATTAAAAGCAAGACTTGACCTACAGGATATGGGAGTAAGGCCTTCACTTCACCCACAAGAACGTGGTTCAAACAAATTTTACTTGCCTCCTGCAAGTTTGACGCTATCTTCACTTGAAAAGAGCATATTATGTCGAGTGTTGAAAAATGTTAATGTTCCAGATGGGTATGCATCTAACATTTCACGTTGTGTGAAATTGAAAGAGCGTACAATTAGTGGGTTGAAGAGTCATGATTGTCATATCTTGATGCAACAACTTCTAGCCATAGCCATTCGTAGGATATTGCCTAAGAATGTTTGCTCAGTACTTGTCGAGCTCAGTAACTTTTATCGAGAGCTGTGGTCAAAGACTCTTTGGCCTGAAGACTTGGATAAATTGGAACACCGGATTGTTTTAATACTATGTCAGTTGGAAATGATATTCCCACCTGCCTTCTTTACCATAATGGTACATTTATCTGTTCACTTGGCTCACGAGGCAAGGATTACAGGACCAGTGCAATACTGTTGGATGTATCCAATTGAGAGGTCAAGATTTTTAATGAATTTTCATTTATAGTTTGTTTATTTTTCAAAAATTCTGATATTATTAAATTTCATTCTTTATATTTAGGTACCTTATGACTTTGAAAAATTACGTGCGAAATAGAAGTCATCCCGAGGGGTCAATAGCAGAAGGTTATTTAGCGGAAGAATGCTTGACTTTTTGTTCACGCTATCTGACAAATATTGAGACGAGATTCGATAGGCCCCAAAGGAATTCCGATAATGTGCTTGATGGAGAGGAAGTGAATGATTTTGGTGCACAAGGTCGTGCCTTGGGAAAATAAGAGTTCATTAATCTAGATGAGATGACTTTGGTGCAAGCATCGGTATGTTTTGTTCAATTATCATGGAGCCGAACCATTCAACTATAGATAACGACTTGGATGTGCCTGATGATAGCACGTTTTGGACAAGAGCTGATTTGCTTGGAACAACTATAGAAGAAGATGATGATGTTGATGATGACCTTAATGAAGATGAGATTTAGGATGATTCCATATCTACTACTCAATGAATGTGAAACGTCTTTTTTGGATGTCAAATGTCTTTTTTGGATATTATAAGCTCTGATTCACCATATATATATATATATATATATATATATATATATGTATGCAACTTTGACAATAATATTGCAGTATCATATTTTGTAGCATGCACATGTATGCTTCCCGTGAAAACTGATTTAGTTTTTTTGTGTGCTTATATATTTTTAATATGTTTTGATATATTCTTGGCATATTATTGTATAAGTGTGATCAATGATTTTACCAAAACAGAATGGTTTTATATAATTTCCATTGGACAACCAAAAATACCCTTAAGTTTTGAGGTATTTTTTATTTCTTTTTATTGATTTTTCCTGGATTGTGCACTGCCATTTTTAAACAATTTGATTGCATTCTCTTAAATGAATTCTCACTTTTTTGTTTTCTTTTCCAGGAAGGATAAACAATAAGTTGACAATGAAACGAACGGTTAGTGAAGTGGAAAAAGTGAGTGAACAAAATACTAAAGCTTCAACTTCAAAATCATCCCAACCACCGCCGAAGAAGAGACGGGGTCCGACACGATGCAAGAATGTCGTAAATGCGACAACCTTATTACCATTAAGGTACATATATACAGAGATCATCTTATATAGTTTACATAATTAGACTATATTCAATATGAAGGAGAAAAAAGGATTTCTATCTTTATTTTTGTATTAAACATCTACAATTGTTAATTTTTGTTTAGGGTTAATAAGTTTGGATAGCCGATAGGCCCTAGAAGTGGTACATATACTAATTATTTGGGAACACTTTCTCGGAATGCTAATTTAGCTCCTTTGTGCTACAAAACTTGTTGGGAGATGCCTAAACGGCTGAAGGAGGATATGTGGAACGTTGTAAAGGTAAAACCCTTTAATGATATTAAAATAATTTTTATGGAAAAAGTGGATTAACATGCAGCAATTATCACATTTTCAGGGAAAGTATGATGTGGGAATCATGTCAAAACATTGGACCATATCCTCCATCGGGAAAAAAATGGAGGGAGTAGAAGTGTGAATTAAAAAGTGAATATTACTCGATTAGGGATATAGATGCAGAAAGATTGGCAAACCCACCGCCTGATGTTGAAAATGAGCTGAGACGACCCTGGTTTTTAGGCCAGCGTGTCCTATGATGAACCGAAGATTGACCCGATAACGGATCCGATATGCGGAAGCGAAAATAGAAAACAAGACTCTAAAATGTCAAAATGACTTTCCATGAGGTCGTGGAACTTAATGAGATCTGACGCGGAAGTAAAAGACAAAAAATATGACAAATAAGTCACCAGGGGCAAAATAGCCATTTCTAAAAACTGTGGACTAGGGTGCCACTAAGCACACCGCGGGAAGGACAACGAAAAACTAATCAAGATGGACTCAAGAATCACTTGATTCGGAGTCTGGATGAAGAAAATATGAAACTTTTAAGTTTCATAAAATCAAACTTTTGGGTTTGAAATCAATGCGGCAATGGTACTTTACATGGGTTGAAATGGTCCTTTTAGACCAAACTAGATGCAACTGAGCATATTATTAGAAAGACAGGAAAAATTAATGAATTTAGACTCAAGAATCACTTGATTCGAAGTCCAGACGAAGAAGATATGAAACGTCAAAGTTTTAAAAAAATCATGTTTTGGGTTTAAAAACAGTGCGGCATGGGTATTTGATAAGGGGTAAAATAGTCTTTTCAGATATAATTAGATGCAACCGTGTATACCGTTGGATAGACAAGCAAAATTTAATAAACTTAGACTCAAAAATCACTTGATTTGGAGTCCGGATGATGAAGATATGAAGCCTCAAAGTTTCAAAAAAATAGACTCACTTTTCGGGTCAAAAATTTGGGTATGAATAGTGTTGTAACAGCAAGCCACATTTGATTTTTTTCCCAGAACTGAGGTTATGAACGGACTCTTAAACGAGTTTTTCTGAAAAAACACGAAGAAGAAACCCTCCTTAAAATCATGTTTTCTACCCGACATCATGGAAGAAACAAAAAAAAAACACAATGTAAAGCCCTTAAAATGCTCTTTGAATAGCGTAGGTCAAGGTGGACCCAAAAAGCTGCTACATGAAATTTTTCAGAATCTGCCCACAACTGAGAGCAAAAACGAGTTAGAAGATAAATTTTTCTGGAAAAACACAAAGAAGAAACTTCCCTCAAAATTGAGTTTTCTATGTGATTTGCGAGATAAATTAAAAAAAACGCAATGTAGAATGCCCGAAATGCTCCTCTATGAAATTTGGTCATGGAGGTCCAAAAAGCTTCTAAAAAAAAAAACAGAAAGCTGAACTTTGCCATCGATTTTCGGCACCAAGACGAAATTTTCTGGAAAAACACGAAAAAGAAACCCCCCACTAAAATCATGTTTTCTAAGCGACCATGTCAAAAGAAGAAAATAAAACTGATGTGAAAGGTCCAGAATGCCCTTAGATCAGATTATGCAAAAAAAATGCGAAATGAATTCACAAGAGGCTCAAAACACAAATGATAAGGTTTTGCCCGGAAACGACCATGCACGCAAACGTAACTTACCTATTTGGACGGGCTACAATAGTCCACGACTTAAAAATACCACCGATACAAAATTCGACCTCCCAACGGGCAAAAAGGCAAAAATGGAACTTGGAATGAAAACTCGGAATCCAGAAATACAAAACGGGATTAAATGACCGTTTGGCCCTTGGCCACACTTCAAACATGATTTATAAGACCCTATGAAAGAATGAAAACGGAATTCCCACACCCGATGCAACCATGGTGAGACAATGACTTGGCATTTTTTAATATTTTCCTAATATTTTAAGAAGTTAGAAGTTACAAAAAATTCAATATACATGTCAATGGCCTTCGGCCTCATTTCATACATGTTGAATACATTGAAAGGAGTGTACTTAAGTACACATTACATACATGGAATCAAAGAATACAACTTTTACATATAAGTCTACAAAATGACATTCATGTTAACATTTGCATGAAATGGAAACTTAAAAGCTACACGATATCCAAGGAATGCTAAGCATCACGAATCAAGTTTTCATACCTGAAATATGCCCCAGTAACGTAGGGGTGAGCAACATAAAGCTACTCGTAGGAGATGAGCATGCATCGACTTAACATTTTACAATTTCATCACCTTAAGGTGAAACATGTCAAAGGGGCTCATGCCACCTAACGTCTATGTCAAAGTGAGACTCAGGGCGCATCCTAAGCTATCATGGAGCATAAGCAATAAGAATCATGATACATATACACATATGAAACAAGTCAAGTTTGGGATAATCCAAAGAACACGATAAGAATTATATACGGAATCAAGAATAAGGCATAATATCTATGCAAGTATACAAGGATGGAACATTCCATATAACATGACAATAAGTATGCTCGGACATATGTTAACAAGAATTACATTATCGATGCAATTAACATGACAAGGAGTATACTTGAAATCACGAATGGGGCATAATATCTATGTTCCAATTGAATCTATAGGATCAATCCTAAACTACATTAGAACATTAAAACACAAATTACAATTTCAATGCCATCTAACCAACATTAGAACTTCTAATACAACGCATAAAGCATGATTTCTCTAAGTTAACATCTTGCAACTTAAAATGGGAAATCAACAAAGAAACAAGTCACAACATCATCTAGTTATCAACTTGAAATGAAATGCGAAATCAAATAAAGTGAATACATAGACGTCACGCCAGATCAAACCGACAATATGGTTACTTTAGGGTTACTAGCTCATGGGTAACCTCCCTATGTGCGCACTAGACTATATAGATGGACTATCCCCCGTACTAGAATCACGTTCTAACCGTAGCCAAACAACGACATTCCCAAGTTTTCAAAATTAACAAATTGTGCAACAACGTATATATCAACATGTATATACAAGATAATCAATTATCAACCATGCACAACCAAATTTGGAAACCTATACAATACATGCTCTAAGTCCACAACTAATATGATATGATGGATGTCGAATCTTCAGTGTGCGATTCGTTACACGCTATGCATGAAAGATGTTAAATATGAAGTGTACAAATCATTACACAAGGCAACAGTATATTCAATAAGGAAAACATATTCTCATGAGTATAAACATAGCAACTATGTTATCCAATGCTCAAAACATAACCAAATGAATATACAACAAATCCAAGTCCATGATTTGAATATAGAAACCACTTCTAAAACACAACTAGATCATAGAGCAAATTGATAGAACTTAAATAGATAAACACAATTAAATTCTCTAGATTCCGATTCAATTCCAAAGAACCTCAATTTAATACATGTTAAAGGACATGGCATGGTCATCACCTATATCCATTCTAAAACTTAATTAGGTTGTTGGAACAACAAAGTAGAACTTTAATTAAATTATACTAATTTAAATTCCAAGATTCTAAAACAACTTTTAATAGTCCCAAATTAATATATGCTAGTAAACAAGTCATGATCAATACAATTATCAAGTTAAAAACTTAATTAAGCTAATGGGACCATTAAATAGATTTTAATTAATTCTTTTAATTAAAATTTCTAGATTTTCAAATTTAACCAAATGCTCTCAATTTAACATATCTTAGAGAACATGCCAAGGACTAATGAAATATCACATTACAAGTTTATTTCATTTAATTTACGACCATGTGAATTAAACTTTAACTAAAGTTAAATATAAAATAAAAGTCGCAATTCTCATACAATTAATCCTAATTTAATATACGTGAACAACTATACCAAAGCCTAATTTTCTAACATGCCACAAATCAATTCCAAGTTGTATATCACCATGAGGATTAAATCTTAAATAAGGAAATTAATTAAATGAAAGGTTTCAAAACCTCACCGAATATTCTAAATCAAATATATGTGAAGCTATATGGCATATAGATCAAGAATATCAAGTCGGAATTCAAATGGAGTAAATAGTGCACTCAGGGCAAATTAATTAATCAAGTTAATTAATAATTACTAATTTTTCAAAACAATTCCGATTTCTCTCAATTTAATTTATGTTGAAGAGTATGTTAGGGCCTAATATAATATACTAACACATATTGATTTCAAGCTAGTTAAGGCCATGTGAATTAATCTTTCACCTAAGATAAATATTAAATAAAAGCTTTAGTACTTATTTAAATGGTCTAATTTTAATACACGACTATGAGCATATAATGGGGCAATATAATATCATGCTATATGTTTAAACCAAGTCATGACCAATCGGAAAAATTAGATCCCGTACAAAAAAAATAAATAATGAAATCTCTAGATTTTATATTTAATCATGCAAACAAGTAGTATAAGCATCACAAGCATACTATATAATAAGAATTTAAATATAGAACATCCCCTACCTCAATTTGAGATGAAAAAATTAAATTCCTACTGAAACGAAAGTGCTCCGAATCCGACGATACCGAGAGGTTTTGTCGGGGACAACACTGTGAACAAGAATCTGCAAGAAACCCCATAAAAATCCCAACTTGACTCCAAACCCGAACTCAAAAAATCGTTGGAAATGGATTCTAATAAGGGCATAAGATGCGCAGCGTCAAGACAAGCATTAAACGTTAAGGCCGAAGACTTTTCATCAAAGAAAAGTGAACCAAAAGAGGAGAGAGAAGATGGCAGCCTTGGAAGGTTGTGGGACCTGGTCCAGAACATGTGGGGAAGAAGAAGAAAATTATGTTTTAATTTTTTAAAACCCCCTCTTTATAGAAAATCACAAAAAGTGCCCTGAAAGGGCCCCGCCGGATCTGGAAAAGTGGATTTTGAGCAGATGCACTCAAATGAAAAAACTCCATAGACGAAAAAGATTCAAAATGAGAAAATATGAACAACGAAAGAAACGGCGTCAAAAACTGAGTCCCGAGCAGAAAGTTATGCCCCGAACAAGTTCGGCAGCAACGGGGGCCAGAAATCCCTAAAACTGGGGAAAACGACCAGAAGGAAATTCTGAGAGTCCACGACTCGACGAAATGTGAAAATGAATCCCGTATGAGGATCCAGGCTCCAGACGAGACATTTTGCGATAACTTTCGTTAATTGCATAATGATCCCTACAAAAAGGGTTAACTGCGAAACTGCCCCAGAATGAAAATATCTTCCAAAAGATGTTTTCTTAGATACCCTTGAAATAAAATATCTTCAAAAGATATTTACGAAAAACACCCCAAGAAATGAAAAAGATTCTAAAGAATTGTGCATCCATCCCCCTGTGGGCACCGGAGCAACCAGAGTACTTTCTTGCAAAAGTAAAGATACGTATTTTGAGAAAACCACTCAAGATGAAGGCACGTGAAGTCAAAAACCAACTCTGAGCATGAGAAGCGAGGTTGTGCCAAAAATTAATAAACGAAGATAAGACAGAATAGGGAAAAGGACGAAATAACGTATAGTATCGAAAAATGAAAAATGTGAAAATGACTTAGTCCTCAAAGGAAATTGTCAATCCACAGAAAAGAGTCTCAGGAACCAATTCCGAGCACTCGAGATGACACTAAGCGACACGAAATAGAGCTCAGAAAAAAAAATTAAACGAAAAAAATTCATTCGTAAAATTTCAGAAAAAAGGAAAGGAAGGCAAATGACCGGGTCGTTACTGGAGCATTGGGAATTTTTGGTTAGGCATTGGGGTACGCCTATTGCGAAGGTAATCCTCTATCTACCAATTTTATTTAAAGTCAATGAGTTGAATTTATAATTTACCTGCTTTCAGTCATTATTTTAGGTGGAATGTTAGAACGTTTACTTTTTCTCACTTTTTGTAGGAGGTCAGTAAAAAAACATAAAGAACGTCGTGGGAAGCAGACAATGATGCATACTACAGGGACAAAATGCTTTGCACGTGTTTCTGTCGAGGTTAGTTGAAGTTTTGGCAATATAAATTATTTCAGTTCTTATGTCATTGAATGATTATAAATGTTAGTGGTAAATAATAATATATATCACAATATCTATGTTTCTTTTATAGATTGAGGAAGACGAGGTATTCAGCTTTCTCTTACAGATTTATTCATTCGCACACATGTAAATAAGGATGGCAAAGCTACTGATGATGCTACTTCGGAGATGATTGTAAGTTTTCATGCTTCTATTTTGCAAAAAGGGGGTCACGTGCCTTGAAATGACCAATTTTTAAACTCTTTGCAGTGTATTAGGGGGTCACATACCTTAAAGTGACCAATTTTTAAATCATCGGCCCGTGTGGAGGTATTTTAATTTCATTGTTTATCATCGGCCCGTGTGGAGGCAATTTACTTTCTTGTATTTGTTGAAAAGCATGGGAGTATGGGATCATTGTATGTGGAGGCTTCTTGTTGATTGATTTGTGTTGTGGAGAAGTATTTGCTATTTGTTGTTTGTGTTAATGTGTCAATCATATTCTCCCCAACATGTATTTAATTTCCATTAACACTTGTACTCTATTTGTTCTCTCATCTTTTCTTCGTTTCTAAGTTTTATTGCTTCATCCTTGTTCTACCCCTAGTAATTCTTGGGAAATTATGGACACAATGTGAAGTTGTTTACATTTTTAGATTTCTGGTTCTGTTGAAGTTGTGTTCAGTTTATTAAATTCTACTATATTGACATTGAGTTCATTTTCTAAAATTCTACTTCTATTTATGACCTTGCTGGTGTGTACTATTACTGCTATATTGGGATTGTCATTGAGTTCTTCTTTGAACATCCCGTGCTTGTCCTTGAATATGTTAAACACATCTGTTGAAATCCAAAATTGTTGGTTGAGAACTGATTGATAACTCAAAAATCACAATCAAGTTAGGGTAGGAGGAAAAGAAAATACACTTCACCATTTAATTCTTGGGAAATTAAATCATTCATACAAGATAGAAACACACCAAGGAGACATTCATTGATTTTACGTTTTTTTCTTCCTTTTGTTGATTTCTTGAGATTCAAGTTTTTGAAGATTTTGTGGAGACCAATAATGGAAAGGGAAAGTATGTTCTGATTCTAAAACTCCATCTGGAATCTCAAATCTAATTACAAAATATTGCAATAATAAGAATGGAGGAAAAATTTGGATAGAAAATCAAATGAAAGAAATCAAGATGATGATAATAATATATCCTTTAATTTGAACCTCAAAACACTTCGTTAAGTTTGCCCGGATTCTTCTCGCGCCAGAAGCTGCGTGGTTTAAGAGAGCCAGTAGATAGAAGACCTACAATTTTTTTGGAATTTAGAAGTGACAAGATGTGATGCTGGGGATTTTTTATTTTTTTCTCTGGAAAAGAAATGATGTTGGTGATTTAATAAGTTTGAGGTTTTGAAGTATATATATATATATATATATATATATATATATATATATATATTTGAAGAGAAGTTTTAGGGATGTAAAGAGGAGGTTAGTGGAATACGAATATCACTAGCCTTAATTTATCCTTTAGTTGTTTGTAAAATTCTCCCACATTCCTATCAGCATAGAGATTTTGCACATTTTCGTTTAATTTATTGTCTAATTAATCCTGATGTCATAGCTCACAATATTATGCAATAGGGTGTTCTGGAATCTGGACCACTAGGTTATTAATGTCTTTCAAGAAACTTGGGCTGCGCGTCGAGTTTAAGGTGTACCTATTTGGTTTAAAGAAATTGAACTTGTATGAATGATTTTAAGAAAATACCTATTTGGTTTAAAGAAATTGAACTTGGTCGTTAATACCATTTAATTCTTGGGAAATTATTTACATTTTTAAATTTCTGGTTCTGTTGAAGTTGTGTTCAGTTTATTAAATTCTACTATATTGACATTGATTTCATTTTCTAAAATTCTACTTCTATTGTATGACCTTGCTGGTGTGTACTATTACTGCTATATTGGGATTGTCATTGAGTTCATTTTTTGAATTTTACAACTCAATTTGAAAAAAGGTAAGAAAATTTACATTTTTAGATTCTGGTTCTATTGAAGTTGTGTTCAGTTTATGAAATTCTACTATGTTGAAATTGAGTTCATTTTATGAAATTCTACTTCTATTTGTATGACCTTGTTGCTGTGTGCTACAACTGCTATATTGGGATTGAAATTGAGTGAATTTTTCGAAACTGTATTGCTTCCCATTGTCAACATGTTGCTGATTAGTGCCCTAAATTCTTCAATTTAACGTGTTCCTCTCAACCCTAATCATCGAAGTCTAAAAACAAAATAGAAAAACATCTTTCAAAGGCACACCTCTGTTTAGTTTTCAAAGTTTCAGAATGTACTATTTTATGTAGCGTTTGAAGCAATGAATCAATGCAATCTATGATATAGTAATCACAAAACTGAGTCTAGAAAAAACTGTAGTGCTTCACATTTTCACTAAAGTTCATTTTACTGGTTGCAATTCTTCACAAAGAGAGTGTTTTTATTTTATTAAATCTTCCTCATAAATCTTCATAATAGTGGAATGGAAGAATAATAATAACACCATCTATAATGAGAAAACAAGGTCACTCAACATCCTAATTCACAAAATCACAGGACAGAATGGCAAGTATATTATTTAAAGTCCATAATAGTAATTATATGTATAACAGTTTCTGGATTCTTGTTCTATCATTCATTTCATTATATTTGTCTGGATGTTTCATAGCAGTATGTCATGGTAGTTCAAACTTTTTTTTTTTTTTTTTTGGCAAGAAAACATAAAAGTACTTCAAAAAAGTTACTCTGACTCTCCTATTGGCACTTCCAATGATTTTTGCTCCATTGTGAGGGGAGAAGAGATAACTGGTCGTGTGCGGATGCTTGGCTTCGGGCCTACACCAAGCGATGTTTGGGGGCCCTCTCCTAGTAAAGCTGAACTGATTAATAATGCAAAAAAAATCTGATGAGGAGGCACGTGCTGCACTCGTAAAGTTGCAGGAGACCATTTCAAAAATGCAAGCCGACTATGACAAGTAGTTGGAAAATTTACGAGCCAACTATGATGACAAGTTGGAAAATTTACAACAACAGGTGGCTATGCTAATGCAGATGCAACAACAAAATTGTAGTGGACAGGTATATTTATTATTAGTTTTATTCTTTACTAAATATATGTACTTATGCCAAGATTTTATGTATTTTGTTTTCTTATTTTGAATGGTTCTGATTCGTTAGATGCTCCTCCTAGAGTATCCCCAAATTCATTATCTAGTCGTGTTGCCAATTCAGTTAAGGTTATGAACTTTTAATTTCTCTTATATATATGTTAAATTTTCATTTATTATAATGTGTGCGTAATGAATTTATAAAAAATGTAGGGTAATTCAAATCAAATGCGCAAGAAGACTTGTTGAAGTTGAAGAAGGGGTCGTGGCTGTGCTTTTTGAATTTCCTTCGCCTTGGATGGGTTCTTTTTGAAAAACTTGTACTACATTTGTCAAAAATTGTTAATTCTTTTTGTCTGACATTTAGTAGCGTTATTTAGACAATTTGGATGGTATATTAGCAGGTTAACTTGTGGTTGTATTAGTATACATTTTTGCTTTTTGGTTGACGTTTACCAGCTTAACTTGTGGTTGTATTAGGAGCTAATTTTGATGGTAATTTTCATATTGGCAGGGTTAACTTGTGGTTGTATTATGTAAAAATAATATGGAAGGTATTTTTATATTAACTTGTGTTATATTGGATGACATTTAGTAGTTGGTAGTATTGATATGTTTTTTCCAAAAATTATAAGGGTAAAAAAAAAAAAAAAAAAAAAAAAAAAAAAAAAAAAATATCCCTTTACCGGCGCTCTTTTAAGAAGCGCTGGCATAGGGAGGGAGGAAAAAAAAATAAAAAATAAAAAATTCAAATTACCCTTTACCGGTGCTTTACCAAAAAGCGCTGGTAAATACACTCTACCAGCGCTTTTGCAAAAAGTGCTGGTAAATACTCTATCTTAGCGCTTTCTGGAAAAGCGCCGGTAAAAGCCTACCGACACTGGATTTGCCAGCGCTTTTTGGTAAAAGTCAGAACTATTGTAGTGTTATCCCAAAAATAGGTTAATTCAGCCAAATAAGAGTTTAAAAGAAGCAATCTCAAGTTGAATGGAAGAAAGAAGCAAAGTGGAAGCAAAGTGGAGGAAAACCAGCAAGTTCGATTGATCTCAAAATTACTTCGATCGATCAGAGCAAGATCAATCTGGCCTCATCAAGATGGATCCAAGCAATTGTCCTTATCCAAAAGATCTCACCATCTTCGATCGATCCAACCTTTCTCAGATCAATTGAAATTATTCGATCTTATCCACACATACCACCCCACCTACCACTCTTGTCTTTTTCTTAAAATATCTCAGAGATTTGTCTTTATTCAAAAAGGTGCCGCCAAGGATGATTGATCTTTGCAGCATTCGATGGATCTTACCAATGTCTGATCGTTCTCATCACAGTTCGATCAATGAACATCCTCAAGTCCGAATTAAAACAAAGTCCAACTCATTAAAAGTTGGCTCATGGTGTAATCATTGCAAGGACCCTAGTGCACGAATCCAGACCATTGGGTATGACATTTGAGCCTCCTATATAAGGATTTTGGGCCATTCATATCTTCATATCTTCATTAGACATATCATATCTCATATCTTGGAGAGGAGGCTAGAGACTAGAGAGCTTTTACACATCTTTGGGAGTTCTTCCATTCTTCTAGGGTTTCCATAAAGAAAGAGGTCATTCCTACCATAGAGATAGCCCTTGAGGGTTGAAGGACTACTTCAATAAGTGACTAGACATTTACTTGGGGCTAGAGTAGTCCCTAAGTTTGCTTCCTAGACCTAGTGTTTTGTATATTTTTGGGGATTTACTTATAACAAATGTTTTGATCTTGGATTTATATATATATCTTGTGGTTTCTACTTGATGTGTATGGATTAATGCTTTCAATTGGATTGTCTATTTCTAATCATATGACTATGTATGCTAGAATGGATAATTTATGTGTTTTTCTCTAGATTTAATGGAATTTATGCATGTCTATTTGTATGGATGAAGTTAATCTAGTGATGATCAAAACAAAGTGCTTAATTGAATACTTTTGTAATGGTTCACACTTGTTTCTTGATGGATTGTGCCACACCTTTAGCTTACTTAGTTTAATTTCCATGTCTTTAGTGTAGATGTAGTATAGTTGCTTTAGATTCATAGATAGATGGACAATCTATTTTTGTTCCTTGGTATTCTATACTTATAAATGCAAAGGGTGTATGTTTCTAGATAGTTGTGTGTGCATAAATTATGGTTTCATTGAATGGATTTTGGTCTCATTTGATAGGTTGTGCTTTCCATTTGAATTGGCTAGACAATCTATACTTATTTTCCATCCATACCTAGTTTCAATTAATGTCACACACACACACAAGTTACAATTCAATTTCTCCATTAATATGCAATTGCTTGTGTCTAGTGAAGTTAAGCTTAGTGGTGAGCTCTAATACCACAAGTCCTCTCCTCTATATCTTTTTCCTTACTTTCTAAATTGTTACCTTTTACTTGCATTAATTTCAATTGCATTGTAGTTTAATTTAATCAACCAAACAAATCATCTTTTGATCACTTGCCCTATGACGACGGCCGTTCCAATACGCCAAACTAAATGTAGTGAATGTGTGGTTCAAGAAAAGCCTTTTATGTCAAATTTAAATTTATAAAAACCACTACCAACACCACTACTAACGTAGCAAGAGTGAGTAGGGATCGTCCCAAGGGATTATACGTGTTGGAATTTCAACTTCGACTCTAGCGTACCAAATGATTGCAAAAGAGAGTTGGGTTGGTTGATTAAGCTAAATTGAATTTAACTAAATAAAATAATATGAAGTAAACAAGAGAGAGAGAGGTCTTGGGGTGTAGAGATCACCACCAAGTAATACTATTCCAAACCATAATCAAGTGACTAATGAGGGAAATGAATGTGTTGCAACAATGTTATGTGTGTAAAAGACATTCAATTGGTAAGGGTGACTCAACAAGTGTATAAATTGTCTCAATCAACATGTGTGAGGCCACAATACATCTATTGGTAGAGGAATATATTGTCTAAACATAATGTGAAGATAACAAAATAACAATTCAAGTCATTGAACCTTTCATTAAGCTCATAGTCCAAGCAATCCATAAGGATGATTTAGTTAAACATGCATTATCTAAACATCATGTGAGAGGTACAAAATATCTATTGGGAGAGGAATAAATTGTCTAAACACACGTGAAAGATACAACATATCATAACTAGTCATTAATCCTTCATTAAGCTCACAATCCACATACAACACAATATTAGAGGAATATGCCATTTGGACTCACAAGCATGGAACATCAAACATCAAGAGTAGATTGTCCTCCCATCTAACATTACACTACCACTACACTAAATCTACACTACTAGCATGAAAATAAAGCTATCTAGACTAGGGGAGAGGCACAAACCATCAAGAATAGGCATAAACCATCAAATGAACCAAAATAGCATTCATTAAGCATATCATCTTGATAATCTCTAGATCTATAGCATCAATACACATAGACATGCATCAAAAACACTAAATCTAGGGATAAACACATGAATATCCTACTCTAGCATACATAGACATATGGATAGAATAGAATAGTCAATTGGAAGCATTAAACCATACAAACCATGAAATAATCAAGATTTATATATACATGAATATCAAGATGTATCATATAACACTAATCCCTCAATAATACACAAGATTAGAGTATAGAAAGCATGCTTGGGGCTAACTCTAGCCCCAAGAGGATGTCTAGCCATTCATGGTAGTGATGATCCAACCCTCAAGGGCTAACTCCATGGCTGCTCCTTGTTGGTGAAGATCTCCTCCAATGGTGCTCTAGCTTCCCTCCTTCCTCCTCTCCAAGAATAGCCTCCAAGATGATTTTCAATGTGTGATAAGAGACTCTCTCCAAAAAGTGTATCATATTCCTTATATAGGTAGGTCAAATACACCCCATGATGAGCTGTGGTCGTGCAAGGCATATTCTCCAATGATTGGATGAAGGACGGAATAAATGAGCTGGACTTTAACTTTTTCTCGCTGGAGGAAGTTCGATCGATCGAACCTTAACTTGGATCGATCGAAAATGGGTTCGATCGATCGAACTGCATCTTGGATCGATCGAAGTGGTCTGACTCCTCCGGATAAGGACAAGGCTGAGATATTTCGAAGATATTTATGGGGAAAAGGACAAAAGTGGTTGGTAGGCGTACAGCTGTGGATAAGATCAATCATTTGAATAGGACAAAATAGGGTTCGATCGATTGAAGGTGATGTTCGATCTATCGAACTTGGAATTTCAGCAAAGGCCAAGGTTGGATCTATCGAGAAGTACTGTGATCGATCATAGATGTTCGATCCATCGAACTCTAAGTTGGATCGATCGAACTTTTCAGCTGCACAACTTGATTCCTTTTTGCTCATTTCTTTCTCCACTTTGCTCCCTCCTTTAGTTTATCTCAGGATTGCTTCAATTAAGCTCTTATTTGGCTGAGTTAGCTCAATTTTGGATTAGTGCCTGAAAATATAAATAACACGTAATAAGTCTAAAACGGCAAAGTAAGATAGATAAAGGTACTAGAATGCTTAAGCTTAACGGGTTTAAATGCGCACTTTTCAGTGCTCATCACCCTACTAACCCTATATTTTGTTTCCATTGCAAACACGCCCACAATCCCTTGAGACGATCACTACTCACCTTAACTACATTTTTAGTTAGAGGTAGTAGTGGCGTTTATAAATTTAAAACTTGGCCACATTGCACACTCACATTCTTAGTGCATTCTTAAATGTTGGCCCTCCCGACAGCCACCAAGTTTTTGGCACTGTTGCCGGGTATTGAATTGGCAATGCCGTGTTTTGGGAATAAATAGGAATTAGTACTCTTTTGATCGTGTCTTTCCTTTTCTTTATTTTTGTTACTTATTGTGTTTATTCTTGATTGGCTAGGTGCATTGAGCTAAGAGAGAGTCAAGCAAAGGGAATTAAAGAGCAAAGGAAGCAAGGAAGCCAAGTGAAGCTAAGCAAAAGCATAAAGGGCTAAAATTTAAAATTTGCAAAGCATAGCAAGGCTTGAAAATCGAAAATGAATTGAAGTTGCTTAAGGACCCTTTGTGAGATCTTTCTAACTCAATCTCTAGTTAAATTGTCGGCCTACGTGGTGGCAAGTTTTTAAATTCTTAGATAAATTGTCGGCCTGCGTGGTGGCAAGTTTTTAAATTCTTAGATAAATCGTGAGCCCGCGTGGAGGCAATTTAATTTTCTTTGCATATTGTTTAAGCATGGGAGTATGGGACTAATGTATGTGGAGAATGTTTGTTGATTGATTTGTTATGGGGGAAAAGTGATTGTTATTTGCATGTTTGCTAGTGCATGCATGGTCGTAGGTCATTGAATCCAACTCTTGTCCCTCCTAATTTGTGTCTTGAATTGGTTGTTCGTAATCCTAGGGGAAGAGGTAGTTCGCATCACTCCATTTCACCAATGGAGGAATTGAATGACGACCATGTGGAGGACCTTGGTCCTTTCTCAACTTCCCACTTTACGCTTGTAAATATTTTAGAAAACTTTCACTGTGGCGACCCTGGTTTTTAGGCCAGCGTATCTTGTGATGAACCGTAAGGATG